AAATTAAAAAAGACAAGATAGAAAAGTAATAGAAAGCACAATTGTCTTAATTATAAGAGCCATAGACACATAGTTTTAAACCCGCATTCGTTCGGCCTCAGATAGTACCTCAGATAACTTTGTTTCACATACATAAAACATTGGTTTGGTTACAGTTTGCATTCGGAACAGTGTAATAGTAAAAATAGATTTAGAATACAGAGCATTTGATAAAAGATCTACCACTCTCTTTCGACTTCTTTCTTCCTCTTGATACTGCTTGGTAGAACAACCTAGAAGAGGCACAGATCATGTTTTGTAATATACAATTTTACATTCAAATAACAATTTGGGTACCTCAAAAAACAGCTACAGACCTAGAAAATTTGAAGCATGATTTTTGACAGCATGCACATCCAAGCTTGTGCCCCAAGAATCTTGAACAGTTAACTTAATTCTGAACTCTAAGTAAACCGTAGAAACTTTTTCTGTAAAGAAATGTAAAATACCAGAATTAGACAATACAGAAAGAAGGAGATTCAGTAAAATATAAGTATTTGAAAACTAATGAGAAAATAAAATAAAAAAGGCTTGTTTAAAACTTCTGATTATAATACTCAAAATGTAAGCCCGTTATTTCCCCTAAGATATTTGAGCCCATATATTGTTTGTGTTACCGTTACCGCACATACATAGGCCTTTGTTTCCAACAATTGAGCTTGGCAAAGGGCTAACTTTTATACCATTATTGTAATAAAGCAGTGAAAAAAATTAGTATCCTTCTGAATGCAACTAGAAGATTAAAATATCATAAAAACTCAATACCATCTTTTTTGCAGAAAGGGCAAAGCGGCTTCTTTGTTCCAAGAGCGGGAACTTTTTGCCATTTAAGTTGAGAATAGAAAGAATATCTTCCACATTGAAGACATACTCCACTTAACAAATTTCTAGGCCCATTTGTATTTAAACCTGCAGAGGAGAGACAACATTAATAAGTCATCAAAAAATAAAAATTTTAATGCTCAAGTGAATATATAGCACTCTTACATTTGATACTAGGTTTAATTTTAACAATTTTTACTTTACACCTGTGCCTTGGCCATTGAAATTGCAACAAATCACTTACAGTAATTTCTTTGGCCCTGGAACCATCTTTAAATTACAGGAAAAAAAAAGGGTTAGTAAAATATTTTACAATACACTCAAATCATTAAGATCCACTAAGTCATTAGAGATGCAGGGCAAAACCCTGCTGCAGCTCAACGTGTTAAAAGTTGAATAACATGAAAAAAACTGTACCTCCAAAAGGCATTACACCTTCAACTGTAAAAGTATCTCCATCTTCATCTGCTGCTGGTATGTCTCCGAGACCTTCACAAACTAGGTCATTTTCATTAAAATTAGCAAGTCTTGGATCCTGAAAGAAAAGTGGCATTTTTAAAAACTCATACATGTAAATATACAGTGTTGTTGGCAATTTAAAAGGTAATTTAAAATAAATAAACTCACATCATCTTTTAGTAATACTAAACCTTCGAGAAAACAATCTTTTCCCCCACATGACAAGCCAGGACATTCTTCTTCTGACAGCGCCACATCTTTGTCCTTTTCATTTGCAATATTTTTCATACTGGTGCTTGCTTCAGTAATTTGGGCTTTATTGCCCTTACTATATGCAGTATTTGTCTGGTTAGGGCTTTGTTTAGAATTCTGAGCTGGCTCTCCAAACATGGCAGACAGTTGACACTCTATGCTAGGCTCCTGGTCTGAAAGGCAATCATTTGCTTCAGTAATTTGGGCTTTATTGCCTTTACCACATGCAGTATTTGTCTTTGTATTAGGGCTTTGTTTAGAATTCTGAGCTGGCTGTCCAAACATGGAAGACAGTTGACAGTCTATGCTAGGCTCCTGGCCTGAATGGCAATCATTACTCGTAACTGATTTTGGCACTAGCTCACTTTGACGTTTTACTCTGCTTGAACTCTGACGACCATGTTCCAAACTGAAGGGTTTCTTGCTGTTCACGGTACTTTCAACACCAACAACCTTCTTGGAGGACGATGAGGGTTCATTGATCACCTGTGGCTGATTTTGGTCACTCTGATTCTGATTTAATTCATAACTTTTTCTTTTTCTTGACTGAAAACTGTTGTGTAAAGGATTGGCAACCAATTTTGGAATCTTGCATGCAGGGTTAAGTAATCTTGTTGTTTGTCCTCGTTTTAAGTTGGGATCTGTATCTTCCTCCTCCGGGTCATCTACATCTTCACCATCACTTTTGTTTTTATTTCCATTCTGCTTTGAAGGGCTTTTATGTTGCTCATAACCCTTGAATACAATTCTTTGGCTTTCAGTAACAGTCAAGATGGATGATTCATCTGCAAATATCTTTTCTAATTGAATCATTTCTCGTAATTCTTCCAATCTTTTTTTATCATCATCTGAAAAATAAAGATGTTTTTAGTTTCAGTCAAATATCAATTCAAATTATGTACCATGGAGGGTAATCCACCAGACTAACCAGTTAAAGTTATAGTTTTGGCTTCTGAGTGATACGTTATATCCTGGGGTATACTTGAAAATGTTACAACATCAGTGCCACTAAGCACTCGGCCATCTATTGCTCCTTGATATTCTTCAACCTTGGCCATATAAAAAAAAAAAGAAAATCAAAACGAGATCACCCGAGGGAAAATTGCTTTTCCATGAATTCACAATAGGTGTATCAAACAAAAGATGGTATACCTTTAACCGATGAAGGCGTAGAATATTTCCTGGCATAAGTCCATCAAGACGGTGATGAGACGGGATGAAAAAATGCATTTTAAAAGAAGAATTGGCTGGTAGACTCTCATCTTTCACTCTACAAATTGAATGCAATTTACCCTTTGAAGTGAGGCCCTTTTCCTAAAATAAAAAGAAATTATATCCAAATCAAGTAGCTAAAGGGACGAGACAAAGACCCGTTAAAACGCAAGCTAATAAAGATGTTGAAATTGTTCAGTACCTTCAAAATTTCGGTTATAATTCCATAAACATTGTATCTGTCGCCAACTTGGAGGTCTTTCAGTTTTGTATACTTATATTCATATGGTGCCATGGTGAGACTGTCACCGGCCAAGCCACAAGTTCATAGAGACAATACTAAAATTGTGTATTACCACAAAAGTTTCAAAACAATTGTACACCAAAAAGGCAAAACAAAACAAAAGCAAAATGCCCCGCCGGCAAATCGTAACGCTGCAAACGCCGCCTGGTGGACACAGCGCGCAGCTTCGTGTGAAGGATCTAGGAGGCCTAGGACGAGTTTGCGTCAGTGACGTCAAGTCTAAAAATAAATTGTGTGATGTGTGGGTAGACTCTTGATTGAATGGTGTGAAACTGATCTTCGCATAAAGTGTGTTTAAAATTTACTTGAAAGAGGTGAGTGATTTGAAAATCTTTTACCTGAAGGTCGGAAAAAAACTGTGTATCGGCGAGGTACGCGGCCCAGAGGTAGTTTACTGCTGCGTTTCTGGGCGTTCTTGACATGGTGGGCACCGCAGACGAGTGGCTTGTCTGCCACACCCAAGCATTTTTTCTCGACGGTGAACGCCCAACTTCGGACTGCCGGCGTTTCTTTTCATTTCGTAAAGTCATAGACGGAGCGTTTACATGACCATTTCGTGGTGCTCTAGTCCGTCTCTGAGTTTGCGACAGATATAGGTTATTTATTGATTACTTTGCAGACGCCTTGTTTTTATATGACCCGACCTCTTCCCTGGTACCCTGAGTCCACACACCCACTTCTATGAAATAGCTTAACTTAGTGTGTTTTTTTTTCCAAAATTGAACTTGAACGAGAATGTTTTGCTTTTAATATTAAAATTTGACATTTTGTGTGGTTAGCAGGAGGGGTGCAGCCATGGAGCAGATAAATGCACCGAAGGAGGTGAAAATCCTGGAGAGTGCAGATGACATTCAGGAAAGACGAGAGCAAGTTCTTACTTGGTATGGAGAATTCAAAGCTGAAGCACGATCAAAACGTGTGAAACTTGAAGATTCAAGAAGATTCCAGGTAAATTTCTAAAATCAGTTCTGTTTGACTATCATTCCCTCATGTTTTATATTATACACATCCCACAACCCATAAAATCACCCATGTGATTACTTAAATGCCATTTGGCTCATTGTCACTTTTAAAATTGTTTTGCAGTACTTTAAACGAGATGCAGATGAATTGGAACTTTGGATCAACGAAAAGTTACAGGCTGCTTCTGATGAAAGCTACAAAGATCCCACCAACCTGCAGGTATGATTCAATTGAGTATCTCCGAAAATTTCATTTACTGTAATATTTTTGTAATTATAAATTCTTTACTGGGGCTGTAAAATTATGTTTTATGCAGTTTTATTCATGATTTTTTAATTCATCTGTCTTAAATTTACTTATGCTCTTTCTCAGGCTAAAATTCAGAAACATCAAGCATTTGAAGCTGAAGTTGCAGCACACAGCAATGCTATTGTTGTGTTAGACAACACGGGAATGGAAATGATTAATCAGGAGCACTTTGAATCAGAAATCATCGGCAAAAGGCTGAGTAAGTGTCTCTCTTGTTGCATTATCTCATCTTGACTCCTTCACAACTGTCAATAGATTCAAAAATAAATTTCAGTTAAATTGCAATTTTTTTTATTTTTTTTAAAATATCTAAATTTAATCATTGCTGTGTTCTAATTAACTAATTTTAAATTTGTAGATGAATTGCATCGCTTGTGGGAACTGCTACTTTCAAAGCTAGCAGAGAAAGGAATGAAACTTCAGCAGGCTCTTGTCCTGGTCCAATTTATTCGCCAGTGTGATGAAGTTATGTTCTGGATCAATGATAAGGTAAGATAATGTTCAAACATTAAATCAGGAACACTGAAATGGCTTATATTTCTAATTTATTTTGTAATAATTTTTTCAGGAGACCTTTGTGACTACTGATGAATTTGGACATGATTTGGAGCATGTAGAAGTTCTCCAACGTAAATTTGATGAGTTCCAAAAAGATATGGCATCACAGGAGTATAGAGTGACAGAAGTTAATGACCTTGCTGAAAAACTTGTGACTGACGGACATCCAGAGAAGGAAACTATTACTCTCAGGAAAGAAGAACTTAATGAAGCATGGGCTAGACTGAAGCAACTTGCCCTTATGCGACAGGAAAAACTTTTCGGTGCCCATGAAATCCAGCGCTTTAACAGAGATGCTGATGAAACTGTTGCTTGGATTGCTGAAAAGGTAATAGTTTTTTATGCTTTGATCTAGTTATTTAATGTGTTATTTTTCTGTAGAACTATTCTTAAGTCTTATTTTCATGTTCTCAGGATGTTGTTTTATCATCGGATGACTATGGTCGCGATCTGGCTAGCGTTCAAACCTTGCAACGCAAGCATGAAGGTGTTGAACGAGATTTGGCTGCTCTCGAAGACAAAGTCTCAACCTTAGGTCAAGAAGCTGAGCGCCTTTGTGGTATTCATGCTGACCACTCAGACCAAATCAAAGCTAAACGAGCTGAGATTGTAGAATTTTGGGAGAGCCTCACTGCAAAAGCCAAGGAAAGACGCTCCAAGCTTGATGAGTCTTACCACCTTCACCGCTTTATGGCTGATTTCCGTGACCTCATCTCATGGATCAATGGAATGAAAACCATAATCTATGCTGATGAACTGGCAAAGGATGTGGCAGGAGCTGAAGCTTTGCTTGAACGTCACCAGGAGCATAAGGTAAGATCCACATGATGTTTTCAAATTGTTTAATCATGTGAATCATCAACAATTTGTCCGTCTATACATTTTATTTTATATTCAGGGTGAAATTGATGCACGTGAAGATAGCTTCAAGGCCACTGCTGAAGCGGGGCAACAGCTCCTAAGCCGGGAACACTATGCTGCTGAAGATGTAGAGAACAAGTTGCATCAATTATCTGATGAGAAGACCTCCCTCCTGCAGCTTTGGGAGGAGAGGCGCATCCTTTATGAGCAGTGTATGGATCTTCAATTGTTCTATCGAGACACTGAGCAAGCCGACACTTGGATGGCCAAGCAGGAGGCATTTCTATCCAACGATGACCTTGGAGACTCATTGGACTCAGTAGAGGCTTTGATCAAGAAACATGAAGATTTTGAAAAGTCTCTTGCTGCTCAGGAAGAGAAAATCAAAGCTCTCGATGAATTTGCTACAAAGCTTATTGAAGGTCAACATTATGCTGCCGATGATGTTGCTCAGCGTCGGGGAATGCTGCTAGAACGCCGTGCGGCACTTTTGGACAGATCTGCCCGACGTGCAGCGACTCTTCGTGATGCTTACCGTCTGCAGCAGTTTGAGAGAGATTGTGATGAAACCAAGGGATGGATCAATGAGAAGCTTAAGTTTGCCACTGATGACAGCTACCTTGATCCCACTAACTTGAATGGTAAAATGCAGAAACATCAGAACTTTGAACAAGAGCTGAATGCCAACAAATCAAGGATGGATGAAATTACATCTACTGGCCAAGAGCTCATCGAAGACAATCACTATGCTGCTGAACGCATTCAGTCACGTATGGATGAAATTGTGGAGCTGTGGGAAACTCTTAATCGTGCTACTGAGAAAAAGGGTTCAAAGTTGCAGGAAGCTTCACAGCAGCAGCAGTTCAACCGCACAGTTGAGGATGTAGAACTTTGGCTATCTGAGATGGAGGGCCAACTCATGAGTGAAGATTATGGAAGGGACTTGACTTCAGTCCAGAACTTGCAGAAAAAGCATACCCTCCTTGAGGCTGATGTTGGATCCCATGCTGATCGCGTGGAAGGAATTCGCAGTGCTTCACAGCAGTTTGTTGAGCGAGGTCACTTTGATGCCGACAATATCAAGAGCAAGCAGGAGGGTGTTACAGAACGTTATGCTGCACTTCAAAAGCCAATGTCTGTGCGGAAACAGCGCCTTTTGGACTCTCTCCAGGTCCAACAGCTTTTCCGTGATGTTGAGGATGAGGAGGCTTGGATCCGTGAGAAGGAACCTGTGGCCGCCTCTACCAATCGGGGTCGTGACCTTATTGGGGTGCAGAACCTCATCAAGAAGCACCAGGCTGTCCTAGGTGAAATTAACAATCATGAAGGAAGAGTTGCTGCTGTCTGTCAGGCCGGTGAGCAAATGATTGGTGATGGTCATTTTGCCTCTGAGGAAATTAAAGTGCGGATTAACAACTTGAATGAGCACTGGACACAACTCAAGGAAAAAGCTCTTCAGCGCAAACAAGACCTGGAGGACTCCCTTCAAGCACATCAGTACTTTGCTGACGCCAATGAGGCAGAATCCTGGATGAAAGAGAAAGAACCCATTGTCAACAATCAAGACTATGGGAAGGATGAAGATTCAAGTGAAGCACTCCTGAAGAAGCATGAGGCTTTAGTATCTGACCTGGAGGCCTTTGGGAATACTATCCTTGGACTCCGTGAGCAAGCAGCTGGGTGTCGTCAACAAGAAACACCAGTGATGGACATCACTGGTAAAGAATGTGTGATGGCTTTGTATGACTATGCTGAGAAATCACCTCGTGAAGTGTCAATGAAAAAAGGTGATATGCTGACTCTGTTAAACTCCAACAACAAGGATTGGTGGAAGGTTGAAGTTAATGACCGCCAGGGTTTTGTGCCAGCTGCATATGTGAAGAAAATGGAAGCTGGTCTGACTGCCTCTCAGCAAAATTTGGCTGATTCTAGCTCCATTTCTGCTCGTCAGGGCCAAATTGAGTCTCAGTACGACAACTTGTTGGCTCTTGCTCGCGAGCGTCAGAATAAACTGAATGAAACTGTCAAGGCATATGTGCTTGTTCGTGAAGCTGCTGAGCTTGCCACTTGGATCAAAGACAAGGAAAATCATGCTCAAGTTCAAGATGTTGGTGAAGATTTGGAGCAGGTTGAGGTGATGCAGAAGAAGTTTGATGACTTCCAGGCTGATTTGAAAGCAAATGAAGTGCGTCTGGCTGAAATGAATGAAATTGCCATGCAACTAATGAGTCTTGGACAGACTGAAGCTGCGCTCAAAATTCAAACTCAATTGCAAGATCTCAATGAGAAGTGGAGCTCTTTGCAAACACTTACTGCTGAGCGTGCCACACAACTTGGTTCAGCTCATGAAGTTCAACGCTTCCACCGAGATGTTGATGAAACCAAGGATTGGATTCAAGAAAAGGATGAAGCTCTTAACAATGATGATCTTGGCAAAGACTTACGCTCTGTTCAGGCTTTGCAGCGAAAGCATGAGGGATTGGAACGTGATCTCAATGCTCTGGGTGACAAGATCAAACAACTCGATGAGTCTGCAAATCGTCTCATGCAAACACATCCAGACACCGCTGAACAGACTTATTCTAAGCAAAGAGAAATCAATGAAGAATGGACACAACTGACTGTAAAGGCCAACAGCCGTAAAGAAAAGTTGCTGGACTCCTATGACTTACAGCGCTTCCTGGCTGATTATCGAGACCTTATGTCTTGGATTAGCAGTATGATGGGACTTGTTTCCAGTGATGAGCTTGCAAATGATGTGACTGGCGCAGAGGCTCTTCTTGAACGTCACCAGGTATGTTTTCTTATTTCTTTAGGTATTTTCTTGCACATGTCTCAAAGACACACATTTCCACTGGTGGGACAATGGTTGTATAATCTGATATTTTCATGAACCAATTCACATAACATAGCTCCTCTTTACTTTATCTTATACAAAGAAAATATTTTTGGTATCATTCCAATTTTGACATACCACCAAGTTGTTTTGTTTTGTTTTGTTTTTTTGTAATTCAAACAACATTATATTTTTCTTTTAGTTACAGTCCTCAAGACTTAATTTTAGAATTTGAAAATGTGTTGATAGTTAAAGAAATCTCAATACCCGATAACCATGATGAAATTAACTCAAATTTCAGCTTGTGTTTTCCTTTGTATTTGCTTTCAATTCCTATACTCATTGAAGAATGCCACTGAAAACAGGGAATTCTCTTTGTTGGTGCATCCCAAAGTTTAAACAACTATTAAAAATTACAACCTAGTATGTACCTCAGAGTTTACCACTTGGAAGTGGATTTGAAAGCATGTTGTTGGCTCGGTTTTTGAGGGGCAGTTATTGTTAGGACTGGCTGGACTGGCTAGACAGCCTTTGAGCTCAACTGAGACAAACTTTTATTGTTGTAGAGCCATCGTGCTGAGATCGATGCCCGTTATGGGGTGGTTCCTCAGGTACTTCTGATTGCAGTGTTGCAGCGTGTTTGATAGTGTTTAATGAAAGCTCAAATTGTGACCATATCAATTTAATGTGGGTTACAACGTCTTATCCAGCTAAACTGTTATAATTCATAACTTGGGCAGGTTCTATTCATTCTCCACACTTGTTTCTTAAACATGTTGTTAAATATTTTATGATGAATGTTACTTCAAAATTAGCGACTTGAATCTTTTCAAATCAAAGAATAATGGAGTCTGGAGCCCAAACAGCCACCTACTTTGACTTCATTACAGCTATCTAAACATGCTTGCCTTGAAGTGGTTTTCTTTTGTGTGGCTTACTTAAAGCATTATTTCTTGGATGTAGCAGATTTGGAGTAGCCTATTCCTTTTTACAGTCTCTCTCTAGGAATTGAAGTAACGGTTCAAGTATTTACCGGTGGGGAATAAAGTTTTATGAAGTAAGAGACTATCTAGCTCCTGCAACAGGGCTGCTCCATTTAAGCTTTGCCGTCTTGATGTGGAAGTCAGTTTTGAGTGGTGAAGTTTTATGCTTTCAGCAGTTGAGACATTTTTTGTTTTTTTCTTCAGCCATTGTTTGACAATTTCTGTGCTTAGAAACTTCACTTAGTCTCACCATAACAAACTAACTAGCAATATCTTGGAGATCTTTTATTACTTAAATCTGTTAGCTACCTACTATAACTGCTACAGGTCTCTTTATTTAAAACAAGCCTTTGCTCCTTTGGGAAACCTATCACAAAACATGAGCACTTTTTCAACACAATTGGACTACTTTTTCTATAAACAAGACTTTTATTTGTTTCCTAGTTTCTTCAACCATAACACATGTTTTTCTTTGCTGGTATACAAAGATTTCCACTTTACGTATTTGATTGAGTATTTCTCAATAATCATCATTATACTTTTTCTTTTTTCAGGAACACCGCACCGAAATCGATGCTCGAGCTGGTACTTTCCAGGCATTCGAATTGTTTGGTCAGCAGCTTCTCCAATCAGGACACTATGCAAGTGTTGAAATTCAAGAAAAGATGGAAAGTATGACTGAGGCCCGTCAAGAGTTGGAAAAGTAAGTCTTGTCATCTTGATTTCTGATTGTTTAATTCCTAGAGTTTGTGCATAAATTCCTGACCACAATTTTTTTTTTTTTTTTTTTTGCAGGGCTTGGATTGCACGCCGTATGCAGCTTGATCAGTGCTTGGAGCTTATGTTGTTCTACCGTGACTGCGAGCAAGCTGAGAACTGGATGTCCGCCAGGGAGGCATTCTTGGCTGCAGAGGAAGTTGACTCCAAAGGTGATAATGTTGAAGCTCTCATCAAGAAGCATGAGGACTTTGACAAAGCTATCAATGCCCATGTAAGTGCTTGTTTGCAAGCCATTATTCATATAAAGTTCTAATACTTTATCTGTTACCTTGATCTGACCTACTGCATCATTTAAATTATTTATTTCTGTGTTATGTAGGAAGAGAAGATTGCAGCCCTTCAAACCCTTGCTGATCAATTGATGGCTGCAGAACATTATGCTGCTCCTCAAATTGATTCCAAACGCAAGCAAGTACTAGACCGATGGCGCCATTTGAAGGAAGCTCTTATTGAGAAGCGTTCCAAGCTTGGGGAAAGCCAAACACTCCAACAGTTCTCACGCGATGCTGATGAGATGGAGAACTGGATTGCAGAAAAGTTGCAACTTGCCACTGAAGAATCTTACAGGGATCCTGCTAATATTCAAAGCAAACATCAAAAACATCAAGCATTTGAAGCTGAGCTTGCTGCTAATGCTGACCGTATCCAGAGTGTGTTAGCCATGGGCCAAAACCTTATTGAGAAACGCCAATGTGCTGGTTCTGAAGAAGCTGTTCAGGTATTTCTTTTAATTATGTATTTCATGATTAGTAGTCAAATCTGTATTTCTTGAATTAATTGAGGCATACATTCCCTCTTTTATGATTTTTTAGCGTCGTCTTGCTTCCATTGCTGATCAATGGGAGTTCTTGACCCACAAGACAACTGAAAAGTCTTTGAAGCTGAAGGAGGCTAACAAACAGAGGACTTACATTGCTGCTGTCAAGGATTTGGACTTCTGGTTGGGTGAAGTTGAATCCCTACTAACATCAGAGGATGCTGGGAAAGATTTGGCCTCTGTTCAAAATCTTATCAAGAAGCATCAGTTGGTTGAAGCAGACATCTCAGCCCATGATGATCGTATCAAAGGTATGTTTCAGTTTTTTCTCAAATCATTAATGAAACTTAATCTTTTGCTGATATGTAATGTTTTTATATTTGGGCATTTATAGATATGAATGGTCAAGCTGATTCTTTGATTGAAAGTGGTCAGTTTGATACTGCAAGCATTCAAGAGAAACGTCAATCCATAAACGAACGATACGAGCGCATTAAGAACCTGGCTGCTCACCGCCAGGCTCGTCTCAGTGAAGCCAATACCCTTCATCAGTTCTTCAGAGATATTGCTGATGAGGAGTCTTGGATCAAAGAGAAGAAGTTACTCGTTGGTTCTGATGATTATGGCCGTGATCTAACTGGTGTTCAGAATCTAAAGAAGAAGCACAAGGTAATGTTTTGAAACTTTTAGTTTCAAGCTGAATCTGTTCTATTATGTTTGTAGTATTGGCAATAAACTTTTTTTTCTCTCCATGTGTAGCGTTTAGAGGCGGAGTTGGCTTCCCATGAGCCTGCCATTCAGGCTGTCCAGGAAGCTGGTGAAAAGCTTATGGATGTCAGCAACCTTGGTGTTCCTGAAATTGAACAACGATTGAAGTTATTGAATCAAGCCTGGTCTGAGCTGAAACAGCTTGCTTCGTCCAGAGGACAGAAATTGGATGAGTCTCTCACCTACCAGCAGTTCTTGGCTAAAGTTGAAGAAGAGGAAGCCTGGATTAGGTGTGTGGATTTGAAACCATCTAATTTCATTGTTTCATTCTGGATTACAAATCAGTGTTCTTTTACTGATATTAACTTTTTATTTCTTTCCCAACTAGTGAAAAGCAGCAGCTGTTGTCTGTTGATGACTATGGTGACACTATGGCTGCTGTGCAAGGGCTTCTTAAAAAACATGATGCCTTTGAGACAGACTTTGCTGCTCATCGTGATAGATGCACAGACATAAGCTCTGCTGGCACAGAACTCATCAATGCTGGTAACCACCATACTGATTCAATTGAACAGAGGTGCCAGCAATTGGAAAAGAAGCTGGAAAATTTGGCTGCGTTGGCTCAGAATCGACATGCCAACCTGATGGACAACTCAGCTTACCTGCAGTTTATGTGGAAGGCAGATGTTGTTGAATCCTGGATTGCCGATAAGGAGACTCATGTCCGATCTGAGGAGTTTGGTAGGGACCTATCTACTGTTCAAACCTTGTTAACTAAACAAGAGACATTTGATGCAGGTGTGTAACATAGTTTTCTGTTGAAATACACTATGTAGTTTATAAATTTGGTTATTAGTCTGTTAAGGGTATTGCAGTTATTTCATTTTTATATTAATTTTGTATCTTGTGTCTTTTCCTTAGGTCTTCAAGCTTTTGAACATGAAGGTATTCAGAATATTTCTGCTTTGAAAGAGCAGTTAGTTGCTGCCCAACATGCCCAGACTCAAGCCATTCAAAAACGACATGCCGATGTTATTGCTCGTTGGCAGAAACTCTTGTCTGATTCTGCTGCTCGTAAGCAACGTCTACTTCGTATGCAGGAACAGTTCCGACAGATTGAAGAGTTGTACCTCACCTTTGCCAAGAAAGCATCTGCTTTCAATTCCTGGTTTGAAAATGCTGAAGAAGATTTAACTGATCCTGTTCGCTGTAACTCCATTGAAGAGATTCGTGCTTTGAGGGATGCTCATGCCCAGTTCCAGGTCGGTTTTTATTATTATTATTGTATCATATGTTGACTTTTCTTGTAATTTTGCTTTGACAGACATGGCGAGTACTTACTCCATATTTTTACTTCTATAGGCCTCTCTCACATCTGCTGAGGCAGACTTTTCTGCTTTGGCTGCACTTGACCGTCAAATCAAGAGCTTCAATGTCGGCCCCAATCCTTACACATGGTTTACTATGGAAGCACTGGAGGACACATGGAGGAACTTACAGAAGATCATCAAGGAGCGGGATGCTGAGCTTGCTAAGGAAGCCAAGAGGCAGGAAGAGAATGACAAATTGAGGAAGGACTTTGCCAAACATGCCAACCAATTCCATCAATGGCTCACTGAAACAAGGTCAGTTAGTGATTTATTTTATTTTGTTTTTTTTTAACATTTTAAGCTAAACTGTACAAATTCATCCAAAATGTCTCTATTTTGTATGTATTGATGATTAAGATACATACATTTCCCTTAAACTATTTTGACCAATTTCTTTGTTTTCCTGAACACAATGCAGATTCCGCCTTCTAGGCTGGGATGGGTGATTATTCATTTTCTTAAATGGTTTTGATATGAATGCCCTAATATGTTTTCATATTAAACATGTGACGCATGTTTTACTTGAGTTCCTTTCTTTTATACATTAACTGCAGTGTACACTTCTGATTGTGTGTGGATAAAGTGGTGTGCAAGAATAACTTTGTGTTCTATGCTGTTTGGTTTGCATTGTACAATTTATCCCCATGTTGTTTTCCTCTTTCTTCACTGGCTGCATATTGTTAAAGTTAACAGACAAGCTTCTAATGTGCTTGCTGGTCCTTTACAAATTGTTGTGTTCCTAGGCTTGCTCTTGCTTCTTAAATTGGTGAATGCTCTTATACTAATGTAACAAAATCTTGTTTTACAGAACCTCTATGATGGAAGGCTCCGGTTCTTTGGAGCAACAACTAGAGGCTACGAAGGTAGGACAAAAGTATCAATAATCATATTAGCATTTCTTAATTTTTCTACATTTGAATCTTTAATTAAATTTATTACAATTTTTCAGAAAAAGGCTACCGAAGTGCGAGCACGGCGATCTGATCTCAAAAAGATTGAAGATCTTGGTGCAATCCTGGAAGAACATCTTATTCTTGACAATCGTTACACAGAACACAGCACTGTAAGTACCAAATGCATCTAGTTTGCTTTGCTAAACTCCATTACGGCTTGACGGTTTCTCTAATATCAACTTCTTAATTTAGGTTGGTCTAGCCCAGCAATGGGATCAGCTTGACCAGCTGGGAATGAGAATGCAGCACAACTTGGAACAACAAATTCAAGCTCGCAATCAATCTGGTGTGAGTGAAGATGCTCTTAAGGAGTTCTCAATGATGTTCAAACACTTCGACAAAGACAAGAGTGGTCGCCTCAACCAGCAAGAATTCAAATCATGTCTTCGAGCTCTTGGTTATGACTTACCCATGGTTGAAGAAGGGCAACCTGATCCAGAGTTTGAACATATTTTGGGTAAGATTAATTAATTAAGAATAATTCAGGCAGGGTAATTTAAAACTTAAACAATTGTTGATATCTTGGGGTGTGATTTTTTTCAGATGTGGTTGATCCCAACCGAGATGGTTATGTGTCATTGCAAGAATACATGGCATTCATGATCAGTAAAGAGACAGAAAATGTCCAGAGTTCTGAAGAAATTGAAAACGCTTTCCGAGCAATTACTGCTGGAGACAGACCCTATGTCACCAAAGAAGAGCTTTATGCTGTAAGTAGTTTTCTGACCTTGACACCATCAAGGTGCATCCTTGTTCTTCAACCCTCCCATCTACACGTTTAACCAACCATGTTAATTGTTTCAGAACCTCACCAAGGAGATGGCTGATTACTGTGTAGCACGAATGAAACCTTATGTGGATGCTAAAACCGAGAGGCCCATTCCTGGTGCAATGGATTACATTGATTTCACCAGAACATTGTTCCAGAATTAGAATGTTCCTTGCACTGCCCTCCATTTTTGTCATATGCTTTGGCAGCTTAATCAGTAATTTTATTGTATTAGTTTAAGAAATATTTTATTGATTCTTTTAACATTTTTGAGATATGAGATATATTTATGTAGAGTAGAGAGGTGATGGCGAAAAGAACCTTTCCTGGTGTGGATTATGCAACTATGGCAGTCATGTGTTGACCACTTGTGTTTTTGTTCTTTATACTTAAAAATATTTCGCTTTTGACAAACCTTCCAGAAAGTATGCCATGATTACCTATGTGTTTCAATTTAGGTAGTAAGTTTTAGCGCTTTACCTCCAGTTAGATGGGAAGATTCTTTAATATCTTTGTATTTATGAAGTTCTTCTACACATTTTTTTATTATTCACTACTGGTACTTTTATATAGTTGTAAGTTGAACTTCTTTTCATAAATGCTGATGTGATGATTCTTCAAAGAATTAAAAAAAGTTTGAGCTATTTAAACAAGGATCTGAGGGAAGATTATTTCATTTTTTCTTTCCATTTTAATACGTATGTTTCAGAAAGGAAGTGAAATTTCGTACTAGGTTGACATTTTTTGCTTAAAATAAACTAAAATAGGTAAAAAAGAAGATAATTTAGAGATGCTTTCCTAACTGTTAGGTACTTTGCCAACTTGCACCTTATTTTTCCATGCATAGACCATGCTTCCATATGTAAACTTTTGTCCTTCATTTTGTTTTTTTAAAAATCTGGACTGGAACAGCGTAAGAAGGATTGCTTTAAGCAAACATGTTGTGGGTGGGCCCTAGTGATTATTTATTTTAATTAATTCATGAATGCAGATAACTGTATCATGCTGCCTAGTGTTGTGGATGGAAAAGCAAATAAATATTAACCGCACTCAATTTTGTTGTATTTTTTGTCTCTTGCCTTCATGAAAATTGAAACACTCGAACATGTCCAGTGGGTACACACCACTCCAACTGGTTGAGGTTAGCGTCGTCTGCATCCTGCACAGCTGAACACCGGAGCACAACACTTTGTGGACCGGCGTCCGGTGAGAAACTGGTGTCCTGAAGGAAGAGAACTAAAGACAACAAACTCAAAGGCAATCCATTAAGTGTTGGGTTCATTTTCTAGAATTTTAGAAGTGGTGTTGATTTGGATGGTTGTCAAATCAATTTTCTATTTATATGTTTAAAAACCGTAGAAAAGATACAAAGCACAAACACCTTGCATCTGTAGTGAAACATTCCATGGCATTGCAGAAATCCTGCAGCAGAGCACTGTGTTTTGGGTATGTCTTTGTGAATTATTAATCTTTAAACATTTTCACATGCGTTTTCTGGTTGTTTTTGTCCAAATAACTTTCAAGTACAGTATTTGAGGTTAGATTGAAATATTATTTGTTTGTCAAATTTGTTGAAGTAAAGTAGAACGCAACTCTCATGGTTGTACTATTCTTATAAAACATTAAATAAATAATGCTCCTGCTTCCTTTATTGTGTACTATTTTTATACAGATTTTACAAAATGCTAAATAAAGTAAACATTTGCATGTCTCTTTTTTGTATTCAGACAGTACAGTGTTGTTATTGGAGCGATTGGAGCTCTTCTCTGGACACAAGGAATTCAAAGGAATCTGACAGGAATGGCTTCTTATAGTGCCGGAAGCAATTCCATTGCATACATTACAGCACCTTCAGAGGAAGTCGCATCTAAGTTAGCTCGGTAAGTCTGGCGTATGCGTTACATTTATCATCTAAATAATCATGATATATCTTACTAGTCATGTTTTGTTGTAGCGCTCTGGTTCAACAGAAAATGGCAGCTTGTGTCAACATTGTACCCAAAGTACTATCAGTGTAAGTCAAGTCTCAACTGTTCAAAATGTCATTACCCCAAGGTCCTTACAGTTTGTTAATTATTTTTTATTTTTGTTTAATCTAACAGCTACGAATGGGAAGGAAAGCTAAATGAAGATTCAGAAGTTTTAATGGTAAGTTACGTCAGAAAAATATTTTGTTGAGTTAGTGTCACACTTACGGCATGTATATTACTCTCATATGCAGATGATTAAAACAAGGACATCACGTGTGCCAGACATAGTAGAGTTGATGAAGTAGGTATTCATTCATGTACAATAATCAAATTATTTTGGCTTTCAAAAATGAAGATTGTATATTTTTGTTCTCTTTTTAGGAAGGAGCATCCATATGATTGCCCTGAAGTTATTTCAGTTCCGGTAAGTGTCGTAAAAAGAATCAAGTTGCTTTCCTTACTGTCAAATTATTGATGTAACATACTAATTAATTCCTTTCTACAAACAGATTGAAAGTGGAAGTCAGAAGTACCTGGAGTGGGTTAAGGAATGTGTGCCTGAAAAATAATAGAAGAAAAAAAAAGCAGAG